CACACAAAAGCCATGACGATCCTTCACAATTCGTTGGAGACGCTAAGTCGGGAGGAGGCGGTCCTTCTAAAACGGGATGCTCCCCCGAAAACTCAGCTATGAAGTCTGCCAATATTTGACCTTTTATCGCAGTTCGGGGTTTGAAATGAATGTCGTGCTCCCCCAACTCTACTGCCCACTTGGAAATCCTTCCGGAGAGTTCCGTTTTCCTCAAGATCGCTTTCAAGGGCTGATCGGTAAGGACAGTGATTGGGTGTGCCTGAAAATAATGCCGCAGTTTTCTTGCAGTGGTGACCAGGGATAGAGCCAGTTTCTCTAAGGGTAGATATCTTGTCTCTGCGTCCAGGAGCGCCTTGCTTATATAATAAATCGGCTTCTGGCGGTGCTCATGTTCACGGATAAGTACCCCGCTTACCGCAAACTCAGATACTGCCAGGTACAAGAACAGCATCTCCCCCTGAGTGGGGACGGATAAGGTTGGAAGAGTCCTTAGGTATTCCTTGATTCCAGCCAGGGCGTCCTCGCACCCCCGGCTCCACATGTTCTTCCCAGCACTCTTGATTGCTCCGAAAAAGGGTTTGCATTTGTCCGAGGAGCGTGAGACGAAACGGTTAAGTGCAGCCAGCATCCCTGTGAGTTTCTGGACTTCTCGGACAGTGCGGGGGCTCCGGATGTCCAGGATCGCTTGAATCTGATCTGGGTTGGCTTCGATTCCTCGTTGACTAACCAGGTATCCGAGGAATTTACCTGATTCCACTCCGAAAACGCACTTTGCCGCATTCAGCTTCAGCCCATACTCCTTGAGGGTGGAGAAGGTATCCGCCAAATCTGTCAGATGATCACAACTCCGTTTGCTCTTCACCAGCATATCGTCAATGTAGACCTCCATGGTGTTGCCGATCTGCTTTTTGAACATCCGATTCATCAGTCTTTGGTATGTTGCCCCGGCGTTCTTTAGTCCAAACGGCATCACTTTGTAACAGTAAACTCCCTTCGGAGTGATAAACGCCGTCTTTTCCTGATCCGGGGGATAGAGAGGGATCTGATGATATCCTGCTCGGGCATCCAGGAAGTCCATTCGTTCATATCCGGCAGTGGCATCTACCAGCTGGTCCACCTTTGGCAGGGGGTAGTCGTCCTTGGGACATGCCTTGTTTAGATCTGTAAAGTCTACGCAGACACGCCATTTCCCCCTTTCTTCTTTGCGCATACCGTATTAGACAGCCATTCTGGGAACTGTATCTCTCGAATGGCGTCGGCCTTCAGGAGTTTGTCGATTTCCTCGTTGACCGCGCTGGTGTGATGCGGGGCCATGCGTCGTGGCCTCTGTTTGACTGGCTTGTGCGACGGGTCAACATGCAGCCTGTGTGTGATTATCTCGGGGTCTACCCCCGTCATTTTCATTTCGTTCCACGCGAACACGTCTGTATTTCCCCTTAGGAACTCGATCATCTCCTCCTGTTCGGCTGTGGGCATCGAGGTCCCAACCAAGAAATACTTCTCTTCTTCTCCCTCTACCAAGGGCACCTTCCGGAGGTCTTCTACCGACCGCTCAGTTGGGTCTATCCGGGGGTCATCCATTCCTGGACGCCCGGACTGTAATTGCTATTTTTCCATAATCTCTTCCGGTGCTCGCCCCTTCTCCTGGCTGAACGCCCCGGCTCGAACGGCTGAATAAAAATAATTTTTCGCGGACGCTTGGTCCCCCCGGATCTCCATGATACCCTCTGGCGTGGCGAATTTTAATTTCTGGTGGAAAGTGGAGTGCACCGCTCCCAACGCATGCAGCCATGTTCGCCCCATAATTACGTTGTAGGGAGAGTCCGTATCGATCACGACAAACTCGGTGTTGATGACGAAGGGACCTGTGACAACTGGCAATGTGATTTTCCCCACGGGCAGGGCGAATGAGCCGTTGAATCCGATGAGGGGTGTCCTGACTTTGGTGAGGTCTTTGAGGCCAAGACCCATCCGTTTTAAAGTTTCGGAGTACATCACTTCCGAGGAACTTCCAGAGTCTATCAAAACCCTTTTGACGTCGAATTTTCCTATCCTTAGGGTCAAGACAAGGGCGTCGTTATGAGGAGTCACTACGCCTGTCAAATCCGCGTCGGAGAATGTAATGCCAAGCTCACCCGTCCTGGCCCTTTTACTAGGTGGCCCTACATCAACCTCGGCTACCTTCCTCGTAAAAGCTACCCTCTTGAGGTCGGACTCGAGTTCTTTGGACGTGGGGCGATCCAGGGGACATATATGGATGACATCTATGATGTTGTCCGGCTCCTCGGTCGGGGCAAGGGCTTGTCTCTCTTCTGGCCTGGGCTATATGTACTCTTTCAAATATCCGTCTCGGACCAATCTTTCCAAGAACGATTTGAACACCCTGCAGCTTTCGGTGCGATGCCCGAAATCCCGGTGATAGGAACACCTAACCTTTTGATCACGGGTGGAGGGGTCGCTCTGCATCCTGGGCGGCCATTTGAAGAACGGCTCGTGCTTGATTTTATGGAGCAGCTTGAAGATGGGTTCCTTGAACACAGTGTGAATTCCTTTGGACGGACCCCCTGGAGGGGGTAGCAATCCCTTTCGGGGAATATCTTCCCGCTCCTTCTCTTTTCTCTTAGATTGGAGGGCTCGGCCTTTGCTGCTTTCCATCTCGTCCTCAACCCTCGAGTATTTGTTTATCCGGGCCATTAGTTCCCCCATATCCGAGGGAGTCTTCTTGGTCAGGGATCGGTACAGGTCCGTGTCCCTTGCCAAGCCGAGCCGGAAAGATGCTGCTGCCATGACCTCCGAGCAGCCTTCTACCTCATTAACCTCTTCCCAGTATCGGATGGCGTACTGGCGAAGAGTCTCGGATTCCCTCCTTCTGAGGGTCAGCAATGATCCAATGTCTTTGGGGCGCTTACTCCCCGTAATGAATCGAGCCAAGAACTGCTTCGTCAATTCCTTCCATGACCCAATACTGTTGGGGGGAAGCGCCTCGAACCACTTCATCGCAGAGTCCCCCAAGCTCATAGGAAACACTCGGCAGAGAAACCGTTGGTCCGAATGATAGAGGGACATCATCTGCTTGTATTGCCTGACATGGGTTTCGGGATCGGACCGCCCGTCATAAGTTTTGAACCGCGGCACGACAAACTTTCTTGAAACCTCCATCTCACCGATCTCCCTCGTAAAGGGTGTTTGTATGACTTCGTCCTCGGCCTCATCCTGGACAGCCTTACCCTTTCTCCTAGAGTCTAACCGGGCTCTGAGATCAATTTCTTCCCTGACGGGATGCCTTCTGAAGTCCTTGAGTTCATCGGTAAGCCCCTCATTTCCTGGGCGTCGTGTGGATTGGGTTGAGTCCTCCTCGGATTCATCTCCCTTCCTCCGTCTAGACAAACCTCGCCGGAGGTCGTCCAGGGCCATTGGCCTTGCTTTCCTTGAATGGTTGTTATGATGATGCTCGCCGGCTTTGGGTCGCTTTGGGCCCTAGAGCTTTCTGCTTTGTTGTTTAGGTGATTTCTTAGATCCTTCGTTTCCACCTCCCGGGCGGGAAGCCCACGACAAGGAATGAATCCCTCGATCCTTCGCCAGAGGCGGCAAACTCATTGAGCCGGCTTAGGACGTTTACATTGTCCTTTTCCAGCTGTCATAATCTATTGCCGAACTTTTCTTCAATCACCTCCGCCAGTTGACGAGCCAAGGGGGCTGATCCCCCTGACCTGATTCCCATACTGGTTTGAGGGGTAACCCCTCTTGACCGAGTAGAGGCACTTTTATTCATATCGGTGTGATCCCTTCCTCCGTGATGACAGGGAGCTTGTAACTCGAGACTCCTTTGGTGGGGGCCTTTCCCTTTCTGTCGAGTGTTCACCATGGTCACTGTTCTTTATAGAGAAAAAACTAGGAAAACTAGTCGTTTCCCACAGACGGCGCCAGATTGTGCGTGCAAGATCCTGCACAATATAAAAAACGAGAAAAGATTTCTCCCTTGGTGAACTCGAGTGAGCCAGTTGAGTGACCAACCATGCTGCTTGGAACAGCCTGCGAGGTCCGGTGGTAACCTGGAACGGCAAAGGGAGACCCTGGGGGAGCGGAAGAACGATCCAGTAAGGCTGAAAGAGGTCCCTGGAACAAAGAAGAACAAGTTAGAAGGGCGCCGGAGTGTTTTTCGGCGTATCCCCTCCGACGATCTAGTCAGTCTTTGAGAAAGAGAGAGGAAGGAGAAAACACTGAGTGTGTATTGTAGTAAAGGGTTTTTTGTTGCATACCCATCTTGCCTTTTGCAAGGAGTATTTATACCTCAAAAGCTCATGATTGCTGTCAGTGTAGTCAGTAGGTGATCATTAGGTACAGGCAGTGTGCGCACTGATTCTGATGAGGAATGTCTTCTCTTCTTAACTGCTCGGGGTCCCGAGCAATCATTGCTGTGTCATCGGGATGCCGACGGTACAATGTACTCCTCTTGGGGAGGATGCAATAAATGCTCTGTATTATGAGCATTTATTGCCTTTCATTTCTGAGCCTTACCGCATTGAATGCAGTCTCGTCAAGGGAGTGGTGCAATTAATCGTTTGTGTTCCCAAGTCGCGTGTCAGCAACGGCATGCGGCTTTTCTGTTCTTCATGTGATATCGTATGCCACGCGTTCATCCCCCATTGGCTGTGGCCCCTGCATTCCAGTACGGTCTGACACTAATTGTGTAAGACGAGGGCATGATGAATAGCCTAGACTAGCCTAGGCTAATGACCTGTACGTCAATAGCTTATCTTGGAGTAGAGGAGGCGTCCAGGACGGGGTACAGCTCGGCACCGAGGAAAGGCTCATCTCGGAACCGAGGGAGGGATACCGACCGAGGTACCATATCAGACCGAGGCTACGTGTTGGTTGTAAAACGTACTGAATGTCATGATCCTATATGACGAGTACCTCGGGGGCGAGGACCTTGTGCGCCGATGGTGCTTGATCTTAGCAACAGTGTTTTGATAATACCGAGGACACGTGTCTTCATCATGGAGCATTTCAAAAAAGTCCCTTCAGAACGGTTCTTGAAGCTGATGCTTATTGATGGCTGTTTCACGCTGGAAATTTTCCGGCCAGCCATTGAAACTCTGGGCGATTATCACTCTGACGATCTGATTTTCGGCAATCACGGGAAGCTCTATATCTGGCCGTTTATCAGACAGGACATGTTGCTGCTTGAAAATCAACTGCCCATGCTTGTTCTTGACAAGCTTCTGGCTATTAGTAAGGTAAATCCAGTTTTTGTTTGTGAATTTCTTTTTCATATATATATATATATATATATACACTTACAATGATGGGATAGTTTTGAAAGTTTTTTTTTTTTTTTTGCTCATATTTAAGTATTACATCATAAGTTTATAATAAAAAGTTATTAGCAATTTGGATGTTGTTAGAGATCACATAGAAACACATTTAATATTTCCGATATCAAAATAATGAAATTGAAATATAAAAGACTCAAATAAGAAAATTTTCATAATTTTGGAGATTTCCAGGGTAATTAACCTTAAATTTTAACGAGTAATAGAATTTATTGTCAATCTAATGACAGCAAGACAAAAATTAAGTTCACATAGCATTGTTCGATTCATAATGAAACTTCTTTTTATGTAGAGTTATTATTTTTTATTTTACAAGTTCTTCATCCATTTGAAGACGATATATATTATCTTGTGTCTTTAATATTCAATTGTCCTTGTAAAATTTTTGGAACAACATTTCGAATTTTCATACAAAATTATTGGTTCATTTCCTTAGTTTTGGTAAGAAAGAAAGTAAAATTACCATAATTCATGTAGAGACGTGAGGAGTTTATGAACGACCTCATACTGCAATTCTATAATTCTAAAGCTTGTCAGCAAGGAATGGGAAAATGCTTGCACGTACTTGATATATACCGGAAAAACCTGGGCTCGAGTCGAGAGACGACGTCACAAGCTCCAACCTTTTGCACGTAGATTACAAGATGGTTCGTTCGGCGAACCAGTTGTATGATGCTGGTGTGATAATCAAAACATCAGAGAATTCGCACTTTAACTATGACCACCATAACATCTCATTCGAAGGAGGGGTCCTACGTCTCCCCATATTCATTATAGATGAGAACACTGAATCAACATTTCTAAACATGATAGCTTTTGAACGTTGCCATGTTGGAGCAGGCAGTGACATGACAACATTTGTACGCTTCATGAGCAACCTAATTCACAGCGCTGGGGACATCAACGTCCAGGGATCCCAAGGGGTCATTCGTATAACTTTTGGGAGTGTCCAAGATGCGGCTGACCTATTCGACACCACATCCAAAAACTTGACACTCGACGCATCAAATCGCCTAGCACGTATTCTTGATGATGTCAATTGGTACTGAGGGACGTGGCAAAACAAGTGTCAGAACAGTTGTAAAGTCGCGTTCACTAATCTCATTGAAAAATACTTCTCCACCCCATGGACTCTTATTTCTGTCATCTACGCCGGCGTTGTTTTGGGTCTCACCATAATTCAAGCAGTATACAGCGCTCTGCAATACTACCAAGGCAGCAAGAAGCCGAGAACTCCGTTCTCTCCCATGTCCCTTACTAAATATTATAATTACCGTCCCATTTTCCTCTCACAGTCGTCTATACTTGTTTGTAAGATGATTTTGGTGAAAAATGGTTCATTAATATGTATGTAGTAGCCATGGCATCATGAATAATATGACTTGTCAAAGTAGAGATGAATGTTGCTTCATTGCAGTAGCCATGTTTTCTCTTTAAGGAATTTGGGCACATAGGTGAAGCAAGCAACTTTCACCCTAGTACACCAAGGGGATTGGAAATAAATAAATAAAAACTTGAATATTGTCATTGTTTTTTTTTTTTTTGCTATTGTATTGGTGTGGTCTAGTGTTATATTTTAGATTGGCAAAGATTGTAAATTGAGATGGAAGAAGACAAAGGAACACACAAATTTACATGGTTTAGCCTATTCAAGCCTTTATCCATAGATACAACTGTACCGGACTTCCACTGTATTAATGCTACACGAACTTAAAAAGTAAATTTAAAAACTAGACTTGATAATCTTAACCATTAATTTCACTATAGGTCCCAACATTTATTGTGGCTCACTACTTATTTAATGGTTGAGATTATCAAATCTAATTTTGAAGTCCATCTAGCATTACTCATTCTCATATTACATTGCGAAGTGTGTATATTGGTATAAGCGGAGATCACCTCTATTTATAGAAGAAATGGATACAAAATGTCTTCTCCGTCATAAAAAATTCTTAAGTCTACAACGATTTGTACAAAATATTAGACTAGAAAAATTAAAAATTAGATATTTTCTTGACAAGAAAACTAACTATAATGATTTGTTTTATCAAAATTAAATTATTTATGTATTATTTTAATCTAACTAATTTACTTCGTTTTAAAAAAACTCTATTATTTATTTGTTAAGCTTCTCAAAAATCATCAAATATACCCTATAATATGGAGTTAGGACATCATTAAGTTGCAACATCAAAAGACAAATAAATGCACGATTTTCTTATTATTTTTATTTATAATAATAGTAGTTAGACCTAATTTAATAAACTAATCTGTCATGGTTACTGGATTAATAAGAAGTCTCAAAAGCATTATAATTCACTATCAATTTATTGTTAGATTATTTTAAAAGTCAAATTTCACGAAGGACATGAACAACCCACGCCCCGGGGGATGCTTCTATGCATTTTGCATGTTTTGGAGTAGAAGATTTATGCCGAACAAAGAGTAGAAGGTTTCAAGCAATTTTGGGAGGGCATGGCTATATTAAGTCAGTCTTGGAGAAATTAAACAACCATCATAAGAATAATTCATAGACATGATTTTGCTCTTAGAATAAACCTAATTAACTTTAATTCTAGGAGTAGTTCAAATGATAATAATGATGAAATGTAAATTTAAATGTTTTAAATTTGAATCTTGACAATTCCATGGAGTCAGACCATGAGAAATTTATCCCTCATAAATATTCTAGTCTTAACGTGGATAGTCTGTCTTTGATTGAATTAGAGAAGTTATGTTCCGTTTGGTAGAGAGGATGAAAAGTAGAATGGATACACTTTATATCCTTCAAGGATAGAAAGTAGGAAGGATACACTTTCCTTCCTTTGTGTTTGTTGGATGGATAAAAAATAAAAATAACTATTTTTTTTTTGAGCTGGTTAAGATTAAAGGTGACAATCGAGTCGTGCCGTGTCAAAGTCGTGTTAAGTCATTACGGGTTTGTGTCAAATATTAATCAAACCTAACTTAACTCATTTAAATAATTTTTTGGTGTCGAGTTGCGAGTTGACATGTTTATTATCGTATCGAGTTCGAGTTGTGTCATCGTGTTGAGTCGAAAATTTTCACCCTTAGTTAAGATGAAAAAAAATATTTATATATATATATATATATATATATATATATATATATACATATTTTACCATTATATTTTTATATGAAATTAATGTATACATAATATATGTATATATAAAAAAATATATAAACAAATAAGATATATCTCAACACAAATAATTAATTTTCTATCCACTTTCCTTCCGATTTTGAAGGGATTGATTTTGGTGAGATGGAAGGAAAGTTAATCCATCAACTTTTCTATCTTTTTTACTTTCTTTCCTTACCAAATATGATGTTTTATTTATCCTTCTAACTTTCTATCCTCTCACTTTTTTATCGTATCAAACGGAGCATTAAGGTGCACATAAGTTAGTTTAGACATCCCTAACTATTAAACTAAAAATAAAATTAACTTTAAGATGCACATAATTAACTTTAGGATGGCCATGTTGTTCGGATCTTGTTGTTGTTTTCGGAAGGATAATTCAATATTTTGACATATCAATGTTGTTAGTTAACATGATTCAACAATATTAATTACTTTTTTATTAGGATTATATCAACTCAAAAGTAATTGTCTCTGTATGAGAGAGAGACATTAATTAGCCCTAATGAGTAATATTACATAAATTTAAAAAATAAATTTCATAATTATAATCATTGAATAAATAATAGATCCAAATAAGTACTAAGATCTATAATAAAATTAATTATTATAATTATTAATTCTATTTTTTTAACTCTATGTCACATTGTTCTTTTCCTCGTACGTAAGAACTTTTTGGGCAACGCATGAAAGGGACTTACAATTTTGTGTAATGCAATATTACTAACAAATTGGACAATATGATTGAACCACGATGTATAACATTTACGCAATTTAGAACCAAAATTTAAAACGAGTATCAAATTGATTTAAAACACTTAAAAATTTTATTCCACCAAAATTTAACATAAACTGAAAAATTTTGGTCCAAAAACAAGCACTAAATCAAGCGATAACAGTGATTTATTAGTTCAAAAAATTAAAGTGTGCGTGGGTAATAATCCTCACTTCTCACCCTTAGCCTTGGTAGTATTGCAATGTGCCGTAGGCAGTCTGAGCTTTGGTGAGATCAAAAAGAACACCGGCGGCCACCACGGAGATAAGAGTCCATGGATTGGGGAAGTAAGTATGTATCAGATTGGCTCGCCACCTGTTCCGCCGCTTTTCGTAGTACCGACTCATCGCCAAATTCACCAACCCAGCTTACTCGCCGGATCTATCGTCAAGTTCTTAGAGCTTGTGTTGAACAGATTCGCTGCACCTTTGTCACTTCCGATGAAATTTTGAACGATCCTTTTGGACTGAAGAAAGCTGACGTCAGAAGAGGTGTCGATGAGGTTGTCCACGAACCGGATATATGAGGTCACCTCAAGGCCGGCGCCGACATGGCAGTGTTCAAAAGCTATCATGTTCAAAAATGTCGATTACGAAGGTGGGGAGGCTCGTTACTCCTCCTTCAAATGAGATGTCTTTGATGCTCTGACTTTTTATTTTATGCTCTAATTTTTTTTTATTTCCGTAGCCCTGTGCTTCTATCTTGTTTGCTGGCACCGCTGCCAGTGCCAGTGCTGGTACCGGTACCAGTTCCAGTAGCCATGGCGGTACCGATTCTAGTGACAGTTCCAGTATCCGTGCCGGTGCCGGTAACGGTTCCAATGCCCATGCCGGTCATGGAGATGGTGACGGAAGGTTTCATGAACAGGCTTTTCCGAAACATATCAAGTACGTGCAAGCATTTTCCCGTCGGTGGAGGAATGTCACGAGAGTCGGGATTACAGAACTTATGGATCAACTCGTTGATGGACTCGTCACCATTCTACATGAATATTTGAGGTGATGTTAATTAATTTGCATCTTCACGAAAGTTTTGCACGCGAACTTCACATGTTCTTCCAAAACATTTCACATGGAAATTAAGTATTAAGACACACAAGGAACTTTATCATGTTCATTTGTGGGTGATTATCCGTGTATACTTGCTTTATTTTAATACATTTTATCTTTTCAAAAAAAAAATTTATTATCCTTATCTTTATATATTAAATAATTCATAAGCATATCTTTTTCTATAGTATGAACTTTATCATGTTTTTCAAATTTATGTTTATCATGTTTTCTTTTTAAGGTCTAGCGTGTAATGTCCTATACTTTGAGACCAATGTCGGTTTTAGAGTGTTAACCTATCCCTTGGGTGTGCATTGAGTTATTGCGTAGTATTTTTTTTTATTGGAATGCAATAATGGTATATTAGCATACAATGCGAATAACTTTATATGGGATTACTATTAGCCTATTAAAACCTATGTGTTCATTGTGATTCATATACATATGATTGAACAGTACCACCATGGATGCACAAGAAAGCAATTTAATTTGGAAAACTTTCAAAACTATCCTATTATCGTAAGTGTGTGTATATATATATATGTATATGAAAAAGAAATTAACAAACAAAAAACTGGATTTACCTTACTAATTGCCAGAAGCTTGTCAAGAACAAGCATGGGCAGTTGATTTTCCAGCATCAACATGTCCCTCTTGATAAACGGCATGATATTGAGCTCCCCGTGATTGCCGAAAATTGGATCGTCGGAGTGATAATCGTCCGGAGTTTTAATGGCTGCCCGGAAAATTTCCAGCATGAAACAGCCATCAATAATCATCACATTCAAGAACCCTTCTTTGTCACTTGAGTCACTTTGCCACTTAGGATCAAGTGAATCATATGAATCTTTCAACTCTTCTTCCACTTGGGCGAAGGAATCAAGAATGTCTTTCAGTTTCAGAGGAAAGCTTGCTCTATTCTCGCTATAAGAAAAAAAATTACTGTTACAAAAAATTTATTTGCAGTCACAGATATTTTTTTGTAGCAGCATTGTCTCGCCATAATAAGCGTGGTCTCAAAAAATTTTTACATCAGCAACGGTCTGTTTTAAGTAATATTTACAGCGGCAAGATCCTATCGTAAATAAGTTGTTACAAAAAATCTGACACTTTTGTTTTTATTACAGCGGCAAAAGTGCGGTCTCAAATATCATATTTGACTGTCGTAAAAAATAGAAGATATATTTATGACGGCAACGATGCCACCACAAAAAAAAAAAAAAATTATTATAGACCGTTCGTAACTAATATTATATATCATATGCACATATACACTCCATACAATTTTTTTTTTGGTGGGAAAGGGAGAAGGGGACTTGAATCCTTGATCTCAAGAAGACAAAACTTTCACAATGTAAAGAGTACCATTAGACCAAAGACTAATTTATATTCATACAACTACCCAATTTAATATATAGATAAACACAAAAGTAAATATAATCAACATTTTAAAAAATATAGCAATATTTTCATATCCAAAAAAAAAACTATTCACAAGTTAAACAAAATGTAAAATATGCACTTTTATAAAACATAACAATCTATGAGTACAAGAAATTAATACAAAAAGTTGAACATCCTTCCTGAACCATCAACTCTCTCAGGGGCATCGGAAAAAATATAAAATTATTGTTACAATATGGAAATAATATTTATATACATATATACAATAAAAAACTAAAAGAAGTTAGAATATACATTAACAGAAGACCCCATAATATTTTTCTAAGCAGCTTATCCAATTATGTAAATGGTATATAAACGAGTCATATTGTTTATACTTCTTCTAACTGGTTTCACCAATACCTGATTCGTTTATAATCGAATCGTGATTGGTCCACTCGTTTATTAAACAAGTGGCTTAAAGAAGACTCAACCCCACTAATTTTATGCCGTGTTAACGGGCCGTGTAATATTTTGGCACCCCTAGTTTTGATATAAAAACTTGACTTTATAGAGTTTAATTTTTTTTTTCTTTGAACTAGAAATTGTCTTTTGATGTTAAACTACGTAATTTTATAAAATATTACTTGTAACATGAAAAATAGTTGTGGCCAATACAAAATTCTTTTAGAGTTTTTCTTCTTTAAATTATAAAATATTTGTTTAATCTAAAACAACATTTTAATGTTTTATGAAATATTATATACGATAGGAAAAGTAGCTACCATAAATTTAAAAAAAAATTAAATTTATAAAAATATTATTTGAGACAGGAAAAACAACTGTCTCAAATACAAAAATTTCTTTTGAGTTTATGACACTATTTACGACAGAAAAAATTTATGACGTTTAAATTTATAACTCATATCTGATAGCACTTGAATTACGTACCTTGTGGTTAGTATTAATCAATTATGCAAATGAGGGTAATATTAATCAATTATTAGACCAAAAAACAAGAACAAACAATGCAGCGATACTTTTTTTTTGGGGGGGATTCAAATGCAGTAATACTGACCAAGCAAGATTTTTAGGGCAATATTTAAAGGATAATCTTATACTGACAATAAATAATATAAATAATAAATATGGCCAAATGATTGGGTGATGACATGATATCCAAGCTTTGAAATTTAAGTGAATAAAAGTGGGACCCAATGAATTATCATATGAGCCAGACATAATAAGAGTCCGATCGCTTAGTCACCAGTGCAACATTTGAATGATTAGATTTTATCATGTTTTAAATATCTATTACTCATATTTTATCTTCTTTTAAATTTAAATTTATTTTTTTTAATTAATATACTTCCAATTATTTATTCATAAGAATTTCTAAACTCCATTGATGCTTTGTTTTGTTTTAATTTTATCATTCCCATGAACACACAAATTGCACTTTTATTGGTAATTTTATATTTAATTTCATTTGTTGGAATTTTATTCTTGTATCTTGAATTAAAATAAAAGTAAGTTATACCTTTATTATCAAAGCATCCACTCTATTAACATGGACGCTGCGTTTGGTATGCGATAATGCTTTTCAATAGTAATAAAATGAGTTTTGGAATAGAATGAACTTAGGAATGGAATAGAATGCGCAAAATATCCAAAGTGACTAAAAATAATTAATAACATTTTTTTTTATAATTGTGATTGCCTTTAAAAATTGTGTAAAACATTTTATAATTAGAAAAAATGAGACTCCATTGAAAAAAATTAAACCACTATAAATTTTAAAAAATTAGAAAACAAATTCCTTCAAAAATAAATTCACAAAAAGAAATCAAAATAAAATACTATTCAAAATTGGTCATTCATTTCAAATGACAATTATAGTTCTTTATGAACTCAATAAAGCACATGTGTGAACCCAAAAAAAAAACCTATCGAAACAACTAATAATCTCATCCGAACATGTAGGTTGAATCAAAAAATAAATCGATGAAAAGTAAGTCTATACAGAAAACGAAAACAAGTTGAATAAAAACAAATATTCTTAAATTCCCTTTACTTAATCTTAATAGCATTGGAGGTAAAATTCCAGCAAACGAAACTATTCTCAAATATAGGTACAAAAAGTTACATTCTTTGTCTGCTTGCTCTCCACTCATCAAATATTTTATTTGCTAAATTCAATCTAAATGTTGATCACTTGTTAGATGTTTCAACTATGGTAATACGATCATCATGTGTATTATTTTTCACCAAGAAACCTGCTGCATCAGCGCAATGTGTTTCGGAGTTAACTAGTTCCAAAAGGATCTCAATCAATTTAGCATCTTCATCACCAGTCCACTTCCTCTTATTCTTACTCGGAACTCGTGATTCCACTTGACTTGAAGATGCCATTTTTTCAAACTATTTTTATTGAAATAAGGTCAATACACAATCAAATTAAAGTGTTAATAAATAGAGATGTACATAATTCTAATGCAAAAACAAACAACCCCAAAAATATAGCACATACTTGTCTAGTAAATTATATTCATATCAAATTAAAGTGCTAATAAACAGAGCTGTGCATAATTCTAATGCAAAAACAAGCAACCCCAACAACTCATCAATGATCGAGATAGGAAAACAACTCATCCACGAGTTCTTTGTGATTCACATCATGAATTAAATAAAAATGGACCCAACAAATACCCTCTATAAAACAACTCTTTCTCATTTAGGATTATCATCGAACAGGTTGCGGGCATAACTACATCCAACTGATTTTGCTTGGTCACCCAATAACTTTCCAAACAAAGTCAACTGTATAAGCATGAAAAACAAATTTAACTGTATATGCACCACAATTACTCATTGATTAAGACAATAGGAACACGTACAAATTCCACCAGAACGCCAACAAATTGACCAAATCCCAGCATAAATCATATCATAATTTAAACTAATAAAATCTACACACAAACATGCAATTTTTGACTAACTTGAGTAAGAAAACCTGAGATTGATGGCCAAAGTCGGTTCTCGTCTCGTCTAGTCTAGGATGGTCTTCGTCGTCTTACGAAGAGTAGCTAAGAGGGGATGAAGGAAGGGGTGGAATGCCATGGGTCTGGAGGGGAGCTGCCAACGATAAGAGAAACCGACACAGAGTGATCGAGAATAGTCAGGTTTTTCGTCGTTACGAATTTTGTTTCATTACCGAGTCATTGGGAATGGGTAATACCCAGTCTTATTTGGGAATGGTAATCCCACATTTTGTGGGATCGGCTATTCCTTAGGAATGGGAATGATTTTTGATTACCACAAACCAAACAAATGAATGAGCATTACCAAGTAATATTAATTTGATTCCCTTGGTCTAATACCATGTATCAAACGCTGCGTAAGGAGTTGGAGTGTAGGAAATCTAGATTGAATTGTACCCTTTATTCAGAAGAGTAAAGCTACTTGGATTTTGATCCACTATCTTTATAAACTTGGTGTTGGAAGGGTACAGAGCTAGCTAGCTTGCAAGCCAAGAAATTAACCTGAAGGACAGAGAAAATGGAGGAATGGGAGATTCAGGTTGAAGATGAAGCAAGATACATGATGGATGATTCAAGAGAGATGGACCACCTTAGGCGACGGTGCATCTACAGAGTACCAGCCTTCATTGCAGATCAAAACCACAAAGCCTACAGACCTCAAACAGTGTCATTCGGGCCTTACCATCACGGTGAGGTTCATCTGAAGCCAATGGAGTATCACAAGCAGCGTTCTCTCATTCATTTCCTTCGGAGGAGACAAACGCCTCTAAAATTCATTATCGATTCCTTCCGTCAAGTGGCATAAGAGTTGAAAGACTCGTACGATTATTCTAAGTGATAAGACTTCCCCCTCCCCCCCCCCCCCCCCCCCCCGGCGGATTTTTTTTTTCAAATATTACTTATCTATATTTTAAATAATTTGAAGTATATTTAATTGTATTCACTCTATTATTTTTTGTTCTATCAATCAGTATAATCCTAGTACTTAAATAATTATGAATTCTTTGGACACTTTAGGGATACATCTATATAAGTTTTTTACACGTCGAACTCATTTTTTTAAAACTATAGAAATTCCAATTAAAAAAAAATTATAGAGATTATGACAACTAAGTTACTTAATTAAATGAGTGATCATTGACTAATCGTTTGATCGTATATGTGGAGAAATACTATAGAATCTTTTATGCAGTTTACTTCATTTGTTATGAAGGAATATAATTAGCCTCTCTGTTTTGTTTGTTGTTATTTATTTATACTATATTTATCAAAGTTTTACCCTTTCGTATTTTATGAATTTTTAAATATCGAATACAATATAGTAAATTTGAATATATTATTTTATTTTTATTGATTAAAAAAAATTAAAATTTTTTAGTAAAGTGCCCATGTTTGTTCTTGACATGCTTCTAGAAAAATAAATCTTAAGCATGAAGTATAATGATAGTATATGCTTTGACAAACAAAAATTTCAATAACTATTTTCCACAAAAAAAAAATGATGTAGTCCATTGATCTTCTTTCAATATGGTGTGTTTAATGGATTAAAAAAATTGATTTTAGGAGACGCATTTTTCCATGTATTTAAAAAAAAAAAAAACTGGATTTACCTTTTTACCACTGATATCTAGAAGCTTGTCAAGAACAAGCATGGGCAATTGATTTTCAAGCATCAACATGCCCGCTTGATAAACGGCATGATATAGAGCTTCCCGTGATTGCCGAAAATCAGATCGTCGGCGTCATAATCGGCCGGAGTTTTAGTGACTGCCTGAAAAATTTTCAGCATGAAACAGCCATCAACAATCATCAGCTTCAAGAAGCCTTCGTTGTCAGTTTGCCACTTAGAATCAAGTGAATCATATGAATCTTTCAACTCTTGTTCCACTTGGGCGAAGGAATCGAAGATGGTTTTTAGAGGAACTTTAGTTCTCTGAAGAAAATGAAGAAGAGAACGCTCCTTGTGAGACTCCATTGGTTTCAAACGAACCTCATCGTGATGGTAAGGGCCAAATGAGACTGCATGAGGACTGTACACCTTCTTGTTTGGATCTGCAATGAAGGTTGGTACTCTGTAGATAGATTGTTTCTTGGGGGATGAACTTGAAGAAGCATTGCCCATCATTTCGAGTTTATCGTCAACCTCAACCACCCAGCTGCTCATTTTTCTCTCTCCTTGCTCCTCAGGTTTCTTCCTCATGAGGAGGTCCATCTCTACGGAAGTACTGTCGATGATTTCGAGTTCATCGTCAGTATCAAGCCAACAACTCATTTTTCTCTATGCTTGGCAGCTTGCTCTCCAGGTTTTTTAGTTTGCTAGCTCTACAGCTTCCACCTCAAAGGTTATTATATATATATACACTAGAAAATGATATTTAGAGGCAAAATTGTTTACATTTAATTATGCTTAGATTCTACAATAACGATCTCATGTATTAGGTATGTCTTTTTTTTTTAACACGACAACTTACAAAAATTATGATGTCATGTTAACGTCACATAATTTGATTTTACCGTAAGAGTAATGTTAGATGGACTTAAAAATTAGACTTAATAATCTCAACTATTGAATAGGTAGTGAGTCCCAATAAATGCTAAGACCCACAGTGAAATCAATGGTTGAAATTATCAAATCTAATTTTTAAGTCTACTTTTTAAATCCACGTAGCGTTGCTTTCTTCGGTAGGTTTTTTCTGTACTAGGAATAAGTAAACTCAAAATAATTTATATTACGCTGTGCTTTGTGCATAACACGTTCAACTTAAATTACAGTGAGCCTTGTGCCTAACAAGTTTCGCGGTAACCCGGGGCTGCAAATTCGTCATCTTTATATATATGTGAGTGTGTGTGTTTGTTAAGTATATGAATATTTATGCTACACGTTTTCTTTTTTTTTTTAAATCGAAACGATAAAATTTTTATTAAGAAGTTAAATTTAAGAGAAGAGATGGTATCAGAAAATCTGGTGTCATTTCTTCCCAAACATTAATATTTTCATCTAATCTGGCCTTTTGAGCCAGTTGGTGAGTCACACGACTTCTTGATCATCTAACAGTGGACAAAGAATAAAAAATAAATAGACGAAAAAATTGTTACACATCTGCAATAATAGTGTCAATAGGAGAAGAATTTTCAGAATTATCGCCAACCCTCTTTATGATTATAAAAGAATCCTCTTCCAACACAATCTCATCACACCCAATTTGTCTAGCAAAAAACACAGTTTCTCTTGTAGCCATAGACTCTACAGTTTACGCTTCTCCCAAACCAATTAACTTCTTAGACAATCTAGCAACGAACAACTCAACTTTATCTCGAATAACCTCCCTTAGCCCCAATAACACCCTCTCTGTCAAACACTCCTCCATCAAAGTTAACCTTAAAAGATCTAGATCTTGAAGGAACCCCACGTTCTGGTGCACTTTTCTGGAGAGCACCTTGACCAGAATCCAAGGCTTGGTCATACCGCGAAATAAACTCCATTGCCATATAACAATACTGTTGGACCAAAATAGTTACACAAAATAGTTTCTTAAGTGTAAAATTTGAACTTTTGGTCGACTTTGAACTTAAATTAAAATGAGAACCGATCGTTTTTTCGAGTAAACTTTCTTGGGTTCATATATTTACTCTGTGAGGAGAATAATGTAGTATATTCACTTGCTCAAATTGAGTAAGAAATGAATGAGAAAATATGTTCTAAAGTGACCATCTTGAAATGTGAAAATAAAAGTGTGCAATGTGGAATTTGACATCAATTTCACATTGGTTGAGAAAGAAATTCTACATGGGTATATATAAACCAAGTTTGCTCTATGAGATTGGGTCTTAAGAAGTACCACAGTTTTATGAGTGGAATGAGCACCTACATGCCTTCAATTCTACCACACACGTGCACCGCCTGCCCGCCACGACTAGACCCGGCCGGGTGTGGGTCCAACCTTATCTTTTTGGAGAAAATTCGTTTAATTAATTGGGCGTGAATTTCTTAACTCGAAATTAAATTTTGGTATCCATTGGATTGCACTGGTTCGAATTTTTGTTTCCCTCTAGTCCGAAAATTGAGTTGTGTTTGTTCGTACTAAACAATTACACAAGTGGTGTCTATTGGTTGTTGCATTTGTCTTCTGGGTTGTGTATTTTAGTATGGTGGCTGTCCAAAAAGTCACCAAAGTGTCCATAAATTCTCAAGCTCATTACCATTCTATTTTTATTCATTCATCAGTTCATTTTCGGTATTAAGACAGACATTATTACATTGTATTTTGGCATTAAGACAGTCTGCATTTTGGAGAGTACACAATATAGTTTCTGGTTCGCTAGACAAGTAAATTAGAGTGCTACTTTTACTTTTGTAAAAATCATTATATCTTGAGAGACATACGTTTTATATTCCATAAATACCGTGTGTGGGGGCAAAATCTGTCTTAAAGACAGAATGTCAAACACTAGCCTTGATCTACTTCAAATTCTATTATACAAACAGGTTAGTATTTATATTTGTTTGACAAACAGTTACGTGTAACTGTTTCGGTAAAACTACTGTAATTGTTTCGTTAATTCTTCTTTAATTGTTTCTGTATTCTGTGTAACTATTTTGCTCTATCTCGTTACTATTTTGTTATACATTACATGTTTTAAATTAAATTTTCAATAAGTGATTTTACTATATTTGAAATACCACAAACAACAAATACACCACAAGGTCGTTTCACCTGTACTGGAATAAAAACTCATCTGGTGCACTTTTTATGCTACACTTTTTTTAACAACTTAAAATTTTAGACATGTTATATAGAAACTAGAAGACACCAACACTCCTGTGATTATGACACAACTCCGAGAGAGCATTGCTATTGGACCTCATTTACAATCTAAATAAGAAACCTAATGTTGTATCAAAGTTGTATTAATTAACTAGGTCCCAATTATAAGGGTCCATTACCAATTGAATAGTTCTAATGCATTAGACTTTCAAATTAAACATAATAATAATTTCTTTTGTTTTGTGTTCAACGGTCAAAGATGTATAAGTCAACTTATTCGTACATCGACTAATCTTATCTCTGATCTGGTCAAAGATATGTCATTCATGCAGGAATTATAGTATTCATTAGGAATAATTAGATTTCATTATATTTTAAAATTTTAATTATTATATTTTATCCTCATTTAAATTTGAGTTTGTCTTCTTTTAATATTGAGTTTTTCAATTAGAACGATTTGCATCAAATCAAATTTTAAATTTGAGTCAAAGTTGAAAATACTCTTAATAATTTAATTTAATATTATAATAGGGTCAAAAATATAGCCACACCTGAGGAGCACTTGATGTATATATAAAGATTGATGAAACACTCTCTAAATACTAAAATTTTTAAGAGCAATGTTATTGAGACCTAATTTACTGACCTAACTTACTATGACCTTTGAATTGTCTATGGGCTCCATCAAACATTGGAATTTGATGTTGATCTAATAGTTCCACTGAAGTCACATCATTATGTCAAAAAATTAAGTTAAATTTTTAGATTCAAATTGTATTACTCAATTTTTAAAGGAAAAATTATTAATGTTTTTTCTCCCAAAGAACAATTAAGCCCTATTCTATTTACCTTAAAACAATTTAAGTCATACTTTTTGTAAATTATTCACAAGAAGTCCTAAACTCCATTAATGCTTTATTTTGTTCCAATTTTATCATTTCCACAATCACACAAATTGCATTTTTATTTGTAGTTTTATATTTAATTTCATTTGTTGGAATTTTATTTTTGTATCTTTAATTAAAATCAAAGTAAGTTATACCTTTATTATCAAAGCATCAACCCTATTGACATGTAAGAGTTCATATGCGAGTGAATCCTACATAAGATAGAAGTTATGAAATACATAAATATTTTTTATTTTATCTGTTAAATACAATGTCGTAGCTTCGATTGCTTGATTTTTTTTTGTATGCCTTAAAACAGTAAATTTTTTTCTAATTAATTCAAAATGTGAAAGGAGAAGTAGAAAAAGTGTAATTAGATGAACTTTTCTCAATGACTGTATTCATAAATTTGTTTTTGTGTGCCTTTATTGTTCAGATTTTATAATCACGTAAGTCAAAATTCATATACTTAAAAAGTTAAATATAAGAAATGATAGAGTTGTATGATTTATCATTTTTATATGTCGTCATTGTGAATTACATGTTTCGGGTGTTATATATACGCTAATTAAAAAATATTAATTTGTTTTGGGAAACTAATAACATATTATTATTGAAAAAAATATAATTAATGTGTCGATGGGAAAGATAAAATTAATGTGTCGATGGAAAAATAAAATAGTTAGCAAATGCATCGGCTTGAGATTGTCAATTATAACATATCAATTATATGGTCGAAAAATAAAAAAAGATTGTTATGTTCAAGAATTATATGTTCGCAATTATATGTTCAAGAATAACAATGATTTTCAAAAAGATTAATCATACAAAATTTAATTCTCATGAATAATCTAACCTCAATATAGATAGTCTATTTTTGACCAGACTGAAGAACGAATTAATCGAGGTACATAAGCCGATTCGAACACCCTAATGGCCTGCCTTTGCTAACTCTACAGCTTCCAGCTCAAAGGTATATATATAGATAGTTGAAGATGACAACTTACAAAGGTTATGCATCATGTTGACATCACATTATTTGATTTCAACGGAAGTCTTGTGTCTCTTGTGACAAGATGTAGACACAGTTTCCTCAAATTCCAAGTTTCTAGGATGCTTTTCTTTTTCCTTCTACAGCTTTGCAAGTGACTTTAAACATGTGTCTCACGTTGGATTCATATTCCATGAAAAAAAAAATTCAATTTAGCCTTTGGTATATATGGATAATGTTGTTCCATAGTCTGACGAAACCTAGATCTTGAATAGGTTCATGGTATACAGCAATGGCCAATGATAGAGATTAATATAATATAGACATATAATAAAGTGTTCATTCGGATAAAAAGTGCAGACAGAAGAGGCATCATCACGTAGTGTACTTGTTTTATATCTTTACTTTAACCACGAAAGTCTAGTTCTTCTGTATCAGGAACAGGCAAGGTCAAAACCGGCAGTTTATGATGGGTCAAACCCAAGGCCAAGCCTACAATTTAAATTCAATTTAATTTAAGAGTTCAATTCTAAGGGATTCAACGTTTAAAGTGATTCACACCCGGTCAAGTTGATCAGGTTTGAGGAGCTACATCAACACAAGAGTATGCAAGGGTCATCTAAAAGTA